ATAAATTCTTATAGGCTTTCTTTTCCCTTTCAAAGTTATCTTGCATATAAAGGGAAAAGAAAATAACCTGTCTGTTATCTCTCATACATACCTTGCCCAGTGGCCCTGCACTAGGGGATATATGTGAATGAAACCAGGCATGGCAGGGGGTAGATCCAGGTTTTGGGGCTTGAAGAATATTTAAGTTTGGAGGCCCTCTTTACTAAAAACAATACAAAATTTCTAGGGCCTTGGAAGTAGTGTTTTCTCACGGCAGTTCTGGTTTCACTTTCAAAAGTGTCTTAGGACCATAAATGGTCACCCTACTTGAAAGGAGCCTGTACAAGTGAGAGCCCTACAGTTGCATAGAGGTCAAGAGGGTGCTGCTGGCAGTCTATGTTCCCCAGCAACTTGCAATAATAGTGGGTGATGGAATCAGAAGACAGCAGCTATATATTTCCTTGTGTGTGTCTTGAATCACTCTGAATACTTGTTCCTCTAGGAATGCCAGGAGATGCATGGTGAGTTCATGGGATCTGCATGTGGCCATCACGGACCCTACACTCCTGATGTGCTCTTTTGGTCCTGCATTCTCTTTTTCACCACCTTCATCCTCTCAAGCACCTTAAAGACGTTCAAGACGAGCCGCTATTTCCCGACCAGAGTAGGTAGCTGGTGACGAGTAACCCAAATCCACATTTAACCAGAGAGTGCTGGCTGGGCATTGGTTTCTTCTGCATTAGAATCCTATATAATAGAGCCTTTCTCAGCCTCCATGCTGCTTGCTTGGTGGGTGGAGAGCTCCAGATGTCCTGATGAGCCACATTGTGACTTTCTCTTCTAGTACTTGTCAGCCCTTGTGATAGAAGTGTGGTTTGGAATGAAGGACTAATACGTAAAAGCTGTTTTCCTTCTCCCATTTAAGAACATGGTATTTATTCAAGTTTTCTTTCATTCTTTTTTTAAAAAATTATTGTGGTAAGTATATATGTAACATATATATATGTATATGTATATATACATATATATATATATAAGTATATATGTAAGCATTTGACATTTCAACAATCTTAATGTGTATGGTTCAGTGACATTAGTTATGTTCATCATGTTATTCAACCATCACCTTTTCTTTGAAAGCCTTTTGATTTAAATGTTTCGAGTTTAAAGTGGCAGTAGTATACTCTAAAAACTATTAGCTTTCACTTCCAGAACACTACTAAGTTTCATTTCCACAGTGCTGGCAAACTTAGTGTGCTATAACTAGAGCTGAGTCCAGAATATGGTATATTGGGGTGATCACCTTAGATACTTTAGAGGACCTCAAAGTCTTCTCCCAGGGATAGCTCTTGCAATAACTTATGAAATCACTGGTTACATTGACAGCAGCAGCCAGCATGTTCCTGACTTGCTTTGTACAATTGTGCAACAATCTTTTCTGATGCAGATGGCATAGTTTGTATGGTGATGGGGCTTCTGCCAGTTTTGGCAGGGCAGAAGTAGAGGCTGACTGTGGGGTGACTAAAGGGGCTATTGCTTTAAAAAGTGCTCAGATCTGGAGGAAATTGTTCTTTCTGTAATGAGGCCTCAATCAGGTATGGTCACAGAGGGGGATGTGTGAATAGGTGAGGGGTTCAGTTGATTAGATATTTACTTTACACACATACATGAATTAAACACAATCTTAGTTGTCAGTGAGCCCACACAGTAGTTAAGGCGACCACACATATTCAATAAGTTCTTTGTGTCTTTGTTTCTTATTTGGACAAATAGCAAAGCAGTGGCAGTTAAGTACTGACTATTTGCTAGACCTGGGTTAAGTGCTATGGGGGATGCAAGAGAAGTTTAGAACATGGTTATCTGCCACCAGGTAAAAAGTGAAGATACATGAAACAGATGCCATATGAGAGAGTAGTAAATAATTGGATGCCAAACTGGGAGGTAAATGCTGGAAGAGTTCAGAAGAGAGAAGGGTCACTGGGCTCCTGGCTGGTCAAGATGAGCTTCATAGGGCAGGGGATGGGAGATGGTCAGAGAATTTAGAGAACGTTCGGAAAAGAACTACCCAAACCAGGGAGGGGAGCTGGAAACCTCAAGTTTCAAAGGAAAGCAAAGTCAGGGTAAGATGTTAGTGAAGTTATATGTAGCTAAAATATGTTTTGCTCTATCTCTATTGGAAGTGCCTAGGTTAAAATAGGCATTGGGCATTTGATAGGCACTGTCTTTATTAAAGGTACACAAAACTATAAAGTGGGACAGCCCTCTGAGAGCAAGTCTTAAATTTGATGGGTATCCCTAGCAAAATGGTGATATTAAAAAAATAATAAAAACTCAAAGAAATTGAAACATAAGGTTTATTCTGAGTAGTCATGCTATATGTATCCAGGGAGATAATTTCATTTCTAAAACAAGTGACTCAAAGTAGGCTAGTTAACAATTGTTAAAAATAAACCTTTGAATTGGCTCAAAAAAGTAATATGGTATTTGATTGTTTAATAATCTAATAAAGAATTTGCAAATTGGAGACACACAAGTCTTTTTATATGAAGGAATTGAATAAAAACTCTCCTGAAAACTAGAGATTTTACAGAAGCTTAAATATTTTTTTCTACTAGTCTGATAGAGACTCTTGGAACCCTGTGCAAATATGATGTGGGGGCAGCATCTGATCTCCTCTAGCTTCACAAGGGGGAGACAAAATCACTATCAGCAGCATCAGCCCAAGGCTGATTCCTATGAGGTGGAGGTCAGACATGCTACCACCCTCCAACCTTTTTGCCAGTTCTGTCACCAACCCTCCCTCCTACAGCACTCTATTTCTCTGTTAGCTTCAATGGTTGCAATAACCACACAGAACTCACAGATAATGCTCATGAATATGGAATTTATTAGGGAAGTAATACATTACAATTCAGGATCAGAAATAAGTCAGCATACAGTTCTTTACTCAGGACAATTTCTTCTCAGACATGCCGCAGGCACACTTGTCTCTGGCCTTGGCCTCTGCCCTGCTTGAGCCAGTGTTAAAAAGCTCTTTTAGCTTTGCCAAAAGGTACCCAAAGAGGCACCCCAGTCTGCCAGCAAGACTCCTATCTGATGGCACTCAGCTTTCTCACTCTGTGGGCTGGGAAGCCTGCTGCTCTGTTTTGTGCCAGACTCTTGGTTCTGCTCCTGCTGCCTTTCTCTGCTACCTCTCTGCCAAGGAGATCCAAGGGGTCCAAGGATGCACTCCACTCTTGGTTCTTATGTCATGATGGTAGTGAGATCCCCTCTTTTCATCTCAGGGATGGCTGGCTCATTTTAAGCCCAGCCAAACAACAAAACTGACCCAATCTCCATGTTAGGGTTCCATACATCTTATTTGCACAGTCCTGGTAGTATAGTGCCTAAGGCATTTGACTGCTAACCAGAAGACTGGTGGTTCAAATCCACCAGCTGCTCCTTGAAGGGAAGATTGGGCAATCTACTTCTGTAGTGATACTGCCTCGGAAACCCAAGGAGGGGACTGTGAGTTGGATCCAGCTCCACGGCAGTGAGTATGGTTTTTTGTACTTTCTTTCACAAGGGTACCATGTACCTTATTTACATTTTTTAAATCTTGTTTTTCTTTATTATTATTTTTTTATTTTTGAAGTGTTCCCTCCCCTCCTCTCCCACCCTTGTAACCAACAAAGAAAGTTTCCTTCCATATATAAACCTTTCCTTGACTTTTTACAATAATGAACTAATATAATATTTGTCTGTGATTGACTTATTTCACTCAGCATAATGTCCTCCAAGTTCATCCACGTTATGTGGTGTTTTACAGATTCTACATTATTCTTTAGTGTTGCATACTATTCCATTGTGTGTATATACCTGCAAAAGACACAAGGAGGCAGCATCTTCTGACTTCCTCTAACTATACAACAGGAGGACAGAATCACCATCAGCAGCCCAATGCCTGCTCCTATGAGGCCAGATATGCCACCACCCTCCAGTCCTCTTATTAACCTTGACATCAACCATTCCTCCTGCGGCACCCACCACCTCTCTACTGGGTTCAGTAATTCACTGCAGTGACCACACAGAACTCATAGATTATGGGATTTATTAGGGAAGCAACGGGCTACAATTCAAATTCATGAATGGGCTCAGCCTCTCTCAGCTGGCCATCTATCAGCTGGCTGGCTGTCTCAGTTTCTCTCAGTTGCACATCTCTCAGTAAAGCATTTCTCTCAGCAGCATGTCTTTCTCAGCCAGCAGTCAGAGAGACTCCTTTTGCCTCTAGGAAGGCTCATTTTAAGCATGGCAAGAGTAGTAGCAAAATTAACCAAGCCCAACATCAGCATTCTATACACCTGAGAGAGTGAACTTTCCAGAAGATTGCTTCATGCTGCTCCAACAAATACACCAAGTAGATAACTTTAACAATCAAGAGCTACTTAGTGGCTTACAGCAGATTCCACCATGGAGTTTACAAAGACCATGGCTAGAAATAGTGTAGTGCCTAAAGGCACTTGACTGCTAACCAGAAGACTGGCGGTTCAAACCCACCAGCCATTCCTCGCAAGGAAGTTGGGGCAATCTACTTCCGTAGTGATACTGCCTCGGAAACCCAAGGAGGGGTCGCTATGAGTCGTGTCTGACTCGATGGCACATAACAAAAACAACAACAACAACATGGCTAGAAAAGCCATTCCATGTAATTTACTACATTGCAGTATCATAGTTTGGTTATCCATTCTTCTGTTGATGAGCACCTAGGTTGTTTCCATCTTTTTGCTATTATAAATAGTGCTGTGATGAACATGCATATGTCTGTCCTTGTCCTGGCTCTCACTTCTTGAGGATATGCCTAGTAATGGAATGGCTGGGTCAAATGATATTTCTAATTCCAACTTTTTAAGGACTCACCATACTGCTTTCCACAGTGGTTGTA